TATATATATATATATATATATATGTGTGCATACATGCGTGTGTATTTTTTTATGTATATTTTATCGTTTTCTATATCACATAAGAATTTATCTTATTCACATTTTTTTCTATGTAGAATTTAGTTTCTAATTTTTTTTAGAATGTAACACTTATATTTTTAATTTAATTACATAAATTTTTTACTGTTTTTTTTTAAATCTAATAAGATTATAAAATAAAATGTTTATTATTACAAATTAAAAACTTATATAAATACCTATTTTATCATGGTCAGTTAAAAATTAACTGCAGTACTTGAACGACTTTATATTTTTTTTAATCATTTATAAGAAGTGTTAATCGATTAACTTTAATTGTTTATGAAAATAATATCAAGTGAAAACAATATCTAGTGGAGATGTTGAGAGATATTTTAAAATATTTGCATTATTTATGAAGCAGAAAGAGATGATACTATTTTTATACATGTGTAGTTACGTTCGATTTAAATTTCGCGCCCAGAAAATTGTAACCCGGAAAACAGTTAAATTAAATTGAAATAAGAAGTGCGAAATTTAAAACTTTTTGAAATTCAAATTTTGCAATTTACTTTGTTAGATTTCGATTCACGTTTTTTTTTTCAACTTGATGGAAATCACTCAGAATAAATTTAAAAAAAAGTACTTACGGTGAAGAAGAACTTACGGTGTACACATCGCGTTTTCGGCATGAAAGATATTCGAGGACAAGCGAGCAGGACAACCAATGAATAAAGAATCGTGTCACTTTCATGTAAGCTGAATATGAGAGAAAGCGCGAGAGAGTATTCATCCGTATTTGCGTTTAATTTGCAGAAGCAGAGATGCGACGAAATTTTCCAATTAAGAAAGTAACAACGACACCGAACTGAACTTCTTTAATTATTGCAAGAGAGATTGAATTTTTAACACGACAGTGTTTCGACTTTTTTAAAAATTTCAAAGAAATCCATTCAAAAATTTAATTCTCTTATCAATATAATAATATTAATTTAATTTATTAAAAAGACGTTTAACAAGAAAATCAATTGTTTCATTCCTTGAAATCTAAAAGATTCGTAATTGTTTTTAATAAAATTTTGATTGTAAGATACATATTTAATTACAGATAATTCAGCATTTTTATTGTATTATATAATCGTATATCTGATTCTACTTTTTTATTGTGTTATATTAATTTTATAACAGCGATAATTGCTCTGACAAATTTCTAAATAACTATAATCGTAATTATAATCGTAACGCATTGTATCTAAAATCTGCAGAAAAAATCCAATAACAACGAGAGATTTTCTCAAAAGCGTCCCGTTTTATTTACATAAGAATGATATTCTTGATCAAACGAAAATGTGATCCCGGATAAAAATTCTCCAACAGCAAAAAGAACGAAGAATACTGTGTCTACAAGATACACGTAGATCGCAGAAATATTTCTTACGAACGATCGCGCACCATAAACGAACGAGTGAATGTCATCCTCGTCTCACGATTCGCCTGGGAATTCAGTCGCATCCGAAACAATAATGCGTTCAGCAACAAATAAGCTTGCTGCCCGATAACATCAAAATTACCTGAAGCAAAATTTTGAACGAGTCACTTCGATCTTTAATTATCATCCTTTGACTATCAGTGGAAAATTCGAGATAGATGAATCAATTAATTGATTAAGAAAGAGAAACACATAAATTGTTTTAAAGCTTTAATTATTTTTGACAGTATTTTTTATATCATTATACACATTAAATCACATCCACGATATCCGCTAATTTTTAAGACATTTAAAAGGAAGTTTTCTTATTAGAGAATGAAACAGATATTGAACAATGTCTATAAAAAATATTTTTATTAATAACTGCTCTTATGAACTTATTAATTATTATTTTCTTTGTTATTAATTGTTAGAAAAATAATAATTAAGATAATAATTAAAAAGAATTAAGAGAAAAATAATAATTAAAAATAATCAATTCTTTCAATTGTTGAAGCTGTTAATGCCACTCTTGATGCATTTGCCTATCGTTTTGGTATTACTTTGTATAATCGAGATAACCTCGACGAGGAAGATAGTGGACACTCTGTATATCCCTTAACCGTAAAACTGAACGAGATTCAAGTGAAAGTGTATAACTGTTTGCACCGTCTATACATTCCCTACGGCATCCTTGCGTCGAGGTAGTCTTGGTTGTAATTGGGATATCGCTTATGTTACGTTGCGTTATATTACGTGCGCGTCTGATGTACGATACACGCGTGAAAAAACGAGAGTTACTGTATTGATTTGCATATTTCGGAACAAAACTTTCACACAGATCTGATAAATTTTGAAGCTGTAGTTTTAGCTTTTGGAATCAAAATTTAATAATCTTTTAAGTTTCAAATCACATCTCTGAGTTAAAGAACAGATATCTTAGGCCCGTTTCTCCCAATGTAAGATTATAATTTTAATCATCTTGATTCAACTTACTTTTTATCTTTTTCAAATTTCTAGGAAAAGATGAACAGTTAATTGAGATTAAAATTAAACTAAATGGGCATTAATGTCATAAATGAAAAATAATCCTTTCTTTTAATTTTGCCTGAAAAAACGATTATTTGTGATAAATATCGTTCAATTAATTATTATTATCCTTTTAAAATTTCTAAGTATGATTTATATATTTTATAACAATGTGATAATGATCAATAATTATTTCTAAATATGACAAACGACTACAAATTATCATTTACAGATGTAAAAAAAGTGGTAATAAAAAGTAAAGTTTCAGCAAAAAAGTAAGACTTCCAATAAATTTTAAATTGTTACTTTCAGATAAGACAAGTCCAACGCTTAATATTTATTTTAATTAAACAAAAATTTATTTATATTAATAATTATAACTGTTACGAGAGATTCACAGACACCTGATCTTACATATTTCTTGCTCATAAATATATGCTCTAGATAGTTTATATTACTTTAACATATAAACGTTTTCAGATTTTAATGTTTTTACAATTTATTCGTTTCCGTTCTTATCTCGACAATTCTAGTTCGACGTATTACGAAAAAGTTCGTAAGAAATGTGATTTGCGATCGCCGGATATGTCGTTCTTTCGGCTCACCGAGTAGCCTACTTGATCGCGTCGGTTGTTTCCATTCGGGGCCGATGGAGAGCGATTGCTTAATGGCATTCCTGAGAAACCTAAGCTTGCTTTCTAAGCGAGGTCCCCGGTCACGTGCGACCAGGTCCGATCTGCGCGGGTATTTCTGTTCCGACACGTGCGACTTGTCGTCCGCACTCGTGATCTTACGCGCAATTCGCGTGTGCGTGCGTACGAAGGCACGTTCACTGCTCCCGTTTTTTTCATACACGCCCAGCGATACGCTTTTGCCGCTGCCTCGGTGTAACATAGCCATGTGATTACCGCGAAGGGCCGTAATTACGAAACGGAGAGGAACTGTTGCAATTCTCCATTGACCCTGAACGTAACACAGATTTTTTTTTTAATTAGAACGGATGAAGTCGAACGTCAGATTTTATCGAGATTTGTTTTGTTCGGAAACGATGATTCATTTGTTAAAAGAATTTAATATTATGTTAATTTTTTATATGTAAGTACTTTATATGTAAGTAACATTGTTTTATTTTATCTAAATTGTAAACTTAGAGTTAATCTAAAATCGATCAGCTCGAATTCATATTTCTACTTGATTATGTATCAAATTGTTTCAATATCATTTTGTATAAAAGAAAGAACGAAAGAGAAGGGAAAGGCAGAAATCATTTATAATTCTAGGTCGATC